TAGCATCATTAGCGTATTTACAATAAATGCAATAATCACGGGGAGAAGAGTAAATGGCCTCCAGAACTGTTGTTCGGCAGTAGAACACGAGGCATTGACCCGTGCATGTGCGTTGCAGTAGTGTGAAAAGCTAGATTGGACAGATTCTTCCCTGTTTGCCCAAGTCAAAATGTTCGGCAACCGCCCCGGTGGACGGTACCAAACGCAATGGTGTAGTCGAAGAACAACTGGTACACATTGTTGGCGTCTGGATCCAAGGTAACGGAGTAACTTTGGCGTGAAATAGCTACCATATCTACCCCGTGCCGTAAGTTTAGGATATCACGGCCGGCCTGAGGGATATCCATGTTCTCTACAACCCAGGCCTGGCATTTGCCTAGTTCCCGATTTTGATGGCCCTTGGGGACGCCTGTTACCATCCGATAGGCCTTAGAGCATATTCGGAAGTAAACTCTTGGCGCTCTAAGCTGCTGTCCTACATTTTAGCCATACTCTAAGAGATCAGTCGCCCGTAATCTTCCTTAATCAATAGCCACTCGCTTACGTGTCCCGAAACTGCTGTGTAAGCTACCCTCTTTGACAGTCACGGCACACCTCTAGATGTTTGTCCTACCATATGCGTTTCTTCATCTAGCATAGCTGAAAATTAACTGCTCGATTTTAGCGACGTGAGTGCCTTTGACCAGACGCTAACGGACATACTAAACTAAGGTATCGCCTTTCTTCAGACGGCAATCTTTCAACGCGCACCATGGTAGCGCTCATCCTGAAATTCGAGCCACGGTCAAGATTATCTCAACACAGTAAGCAGGATCTTGCATGCATAAAAGCAAATGTGAGTAAGTCGTTCGTCGTCGACATGCCAGTGGCTAAAAGTAAAGGTCACGTTTTGCCTCCAGCTGGTGGTTTCCGAAGATGACCCCCCGTCTGGCACATATAAGCACGGATTTAGTGCCCAACACGCCGGTACCCATTCAACCATACTTATAAGTTTCCAGTGCCGAACGTCCAACACTAACAACACCTAGAAATCGCACCTCTTCTGCCTGTACAATTTCTCCTATGATGGTTCGTTTGCCAGGGAACCTGATACCGTATTACGTCGTTTCCACCCCACGAGCCTCAGTCAGTTAAGCTGCGCCGCTTTTGGATTTGAATGTATGCAGATATGATCTCATGCCTTTCCGCGAATCTATCAAGATTAGAAGCCAATAGAGCGTCCATATGAGTGACCCTTTAGGGTGACGCAAAGCAAAGGGACAGGTGAGGTGTGACTTCCAGCATCCATCAACTCAGGCGAACTGGTCTTTGGGGACTGGGCACCTCTGCGTCCAAGCAAGGCCTGCTTCAAATTAAACGTCAACCCCAACACATTCTAGCTCTGTTCAACTGATTCCTGCTGTGCATCATATGACCTCGGCCTCTGGGATGCTTCTAGCGGTTTTCGGTCTCCAATAAGCACTCATTCCAGGCGTTTTCCTTACTGGCTTCGAGCATTTACGGGATAGACACCGTCCCTCGTATGTTTTGAGTTGCACGCAATACTGTAAGGCTTCTGCAATCTCCTTTGTTTGCGGTCTTACTCATCCCGCTTAGTTGGTCGCAATAGTGCTTACGCACTTAAAGACGCATTCTCAGTGCTTCTTACATC